CCGCACAGAGTCCTGACCTCAACCCCATAGAACACCTTTGGGATGAATTAGAGGCGGAGACTGCGAGCCCCTCCCCCAACATCAGTACCTGACCTCACAAATGGTCCAACATTCCCATAGACACACTCCTAAACCTTGTGGACTCCTCCCCAGAAGAGGCGGAGCTGTTATAGCGGCAAAGGGCGGAGCCAATACTGAACCCTACGGACTAAGACTGGGGGGGTCATTAAAGTTCATGGGCGGGTAAAGGCCGCCGTCCCAATACTTGTGGTAATATTGTGTATTGATATATTTATCAGGTAAATGTGTGAAATATTGTACAGCATTTGTGTTTTTTGTATTTTTACATCCAGCCAGTAGGAGAAGCTGTAATCTTTCACAATTTCTGTTTACTAAGCCACCTATAAAGTTTACAGAACCAAATAGCTCAAGCTGAATGATACTCGCATAACAAGTCAGAGCAGAGACTCCGTCTTATTGGCTGACTCAGTCTGGAGGCGTCAGTCAGAGAGAGGGAGAGTCAGGAACCGGGTCGGAACCCGGGGCCTCTGCTGTAGCTGGTGGTGGTTCTTCCTGCTGAGCCACCTTAGAACCTTGGAGAGCTCCTCGCCTGATCTCCTGTGTAATCCTCAGTTATACCTAATCAGATGCTGAACTCTGAACCCCTGGCTCCTCCCTTGAACTTCCTATTTAAGCCCCGCCTCTGCACTTCCTGTTTGCCAGATTATTGTGCTCCTGCTTCCCTCTGTGCTACAATCCGCTCATACTGCTACCTGTGTACCGACCTTTGGCTGCCGATTCACCGACTACTCTCATCATCTTCTGCTACATACCCGATACCTTTGGCTCCTGACCTCGGCTTGTTCGCTGACTACGCCTCTGCCTGCTCCTCCACTGCTACCCTCTGCTTGTGTACCGAACCTGGCCTGTTATACCGCGAATTGCCTGCTGCTTCAGCTACTGGACTCCGAGCCTGATCCCGGATCGTGACAGGGATCCTAAAAGCAGACAAATCCTGCCGTGCTCTCTCCTTAGATAATTGTGCCGCCCCAATGGGGCATAGAATATGTTATTACATTACTGTTAGATAGAAGTTTTATATAGAGTGTTTTCCCTATCCATTTCCCATGGCCATTCTATATTTAGTTCCTATGCTGCCATCTAGTGGCCTTTTGCGGTAATGTATATATTTTTCTATGTTATCTGATATCCCTGAGATCGATGACACAGTTCCTCTTTATGTATGCCCCACCCTTCTTCCTGAGTGCAGTACTTCCTGTGTCATGGCCACAGCTAACAGCCACATGTAATAAGGACACATGTACTCCTGCATAGTACCGTAGGAAAGGCATCATCTTTTGACCGCACAATACTGAAACCATTCATGTGCTGTTCCATTCATCTGCTGTAACCCTGATGTTAAGAATAAAGCACCTCTTTTGGATGAAACGGTATTGACGAGTTCAGCTATCTGACAAGGATTGTCCGCAGTGAGTATATCTGCTTATACAGGCCAGGCATAGAGGTCTCAGCAAGGGATATATCGCTATCACAACAATCGGAGTCAGAATAATAATCCATAGTGCTCTGGGAGTCCTTTGTCATGTATTGAATGTTGATGTAACACAGGAATTGTAAATAATCATAGGAAATAAAACCATCAGGATTATACATGTTATAAAATCATTTTCCAGATGGAGAAGATCGATAACGGATATCTGTCAGACATCTTCCAGTCCAAGAAGGGGGTAAAACCGTCCGATAAGAGAACCTGCCTGTTATACCAGCTGGTCCCCAGACAGTTCTCCGGGCTCGTCTGTGATGTCGGCTTTCAGAGGATTTTCAGCAATCCCAAAGGTGAGTGTCCGGGATCATTACATGGAGGGGGATCTGCTGTATACCCTAACCCAGGGGCGTCTGGAGAT